GGAGTTTTGGCAGTGGATTCTCAGACTAGAAGCTGGCTTGGTGCTGCTGTGTGCGCTCGCTCCCTGCTGCTGCACACTGCAGGTGATAGCACAAAGATATCAAAGACCTTTGCTTCAGTCTCCCTCTCCAGAGCTCCACATCTTTCAAGCAAAGAGACAGTGGAATAGAAGTTTCTCAGGTGGACTAAAACAAAAGACCCCCAAAAATATATGTTGAAATCCAGTGGAAAAATAGTTCAATATTAACATTAATAATCTAGCAATGCAATGTTTTTTTTTCTTCTCAGAATAGGCTTAGAATTTGAAATGCCTGCAAAAGATAATTTGGACTTTCATTTTTAAAATGCAAATTACTAGCTTTTCCTAGCAGAAGTTTCCTCGAAGTATAAATTTTGACTTCCCATGAATCCTTCATGGGTTATTTGGGCATGCTGTAGCAATGTGTACATTTTGTGAAGTCCTTGAAAACAGTGCTATTGGCTATACCTTGCAAGCAAATCAGTTAATTATTTTATTTTTGATCTAAGTACAGCTGGAACTGATTTAAAATTTAACATTCAGAGCTGTTCTGTGTTCTCATTATGGGGTTTGGTGTAGTCTCAGGTTGTTGTCTTAGTTAATGTACCAGTTTTATTGGCTTGGTTCTTGCTACTGGAATAATCAAGTATCTGAAATGTTTACTCTTGCTTCCTGATGGTTTTGAAGCTGCTTTCTTTTACTTTCTGAAGGTTGCTCTCACAGGCTTCTTATGTGATAAAGTGCTGCTCAGTATTGTTTTCAGATCACTTTGCAACACAGTCTTCTGAAGGATGGGCTGGCATACAATATTTTCATTCATTTAGGAATGAAAGATTGCTGCAATCTCATGTATTTCTCTTGCCTCTAATTTAAGCAAAAGTACTGACTGAGATAGGAAGCTGTCTGTAGCCAAACCACTCTTCTGTTTTTAAAACCATGGACATTTTGAGGGCTTGTGAGGTTTACCCAGTGGCCACTTACAAATCCTGCCTGGCATATGTGCATAATATGCACTGACCCGTCTGCCCTTCAGGTTAAGAAGGCACAGCAGTGTCTGGTTTGCATAACCTCTGTAATTTCCTCATTGTACAGCTCTGATTCAGTCAGGTATTTAAGCACATACCCACCTCTGACTGTTTTGCTTAATATCCATGAGAGTGGTTTTTTTTTTAATGTGGCTAAGAAAAAAGTCAGATGTCTATTTGAAAATCCCTGTAGAAATCTGCAGAGAATTTGGCAAAACCAAATGTCACCAAATCCGATGTTCTGTGAAATGTTGGAATAGTGTCTTATGGGATGGGGGGCACAACAACAACAAAAACAAAATTCCCATTCTAAATAATGTGTGTTCTGGCTTGCCAAACTGCTTTAAAAATGTATCTCTTTTATTGTCTGCACTTTAACGTATTCAGTAGTGTGTATTACTAATAGAATAAATGAAAAATGTATTTCTTTAACACTGTCATCTCTCTCTCTGACATGCATCTTCAGATGATTTGCAAATGCTCAGTTGTATAAGTGGCTTACAGAGGGAAATCAGTTAGCCTCTAATGTTATGCTGATGCATGGCCAGTTGCTCGAACCCATTAATGAACTAATCTCTGATACTCCAGTAAATGGTATTCTTGCTCTTGCATGTGCTGCACACTGAATTTCAGGTAAAATCAACATTAAAAAAGAACATTTAAATGGATTATGGCTCTTATCCTACTTCTTCCTCATGTACTTCGAGAGAAATTAAAGCTATGAAAGTTTACTGTCCAAAGGAAAATATTTTCATGCCCTCCCTCTCCTCTTTTTTTTTTTTTTTTTTTTTTTTTTTTCCCCCATGGAAAACAAGGTTATTAAAACCTGTTTTGCTTTTGGCTGACCGCTGAAGCTAAATAGCATCTTCTATATACATAGCAATATCTAAAAACAATATACCAGAACACTTGTATTAAGCACAAGGTAATTTTTCTTTATTTCCCTTTCTATCATCACTGATTATGAAAATAGTTTTGTGTAAGTACAGATTCTCTCTCTCTTATAATCAGCTACCTCCTGCCCGATTCCTTAATTAATGACATAATTCAGTGTTCTGGACATCACAATCACTTCCAGGGTTGTGAAATATGATCAGAGCTGCCTGGAATGTGTGTAGCAAACCCCGCAAGTGAAGGTCATGCCTCTGTTGTGTTTTCTTTTTATCTGTAGGAAAAAAAAGAAGCTCTCAATTTAGATGATTTTCATTGTAGATTAAACAAAGAACAATTGAAAACCCCCAGAGAGAAGGAGCAAGTATAAAAGTTCCTAGAAACAGAAAGCATCTTAAGCTGCCTCAGAAGTCTGCGCCCTACATGCAGGCAGCCAATGCTTTTGACCAAAGAAAGCAGCAGAGGTGCAGAGAATCGGTTCAACGTGTGCCACCCTGACTCAGTTTTATTGGGCAGCTGGCAGTCAGGCTGGGACTGAGAAGTGTGTGTTATGGGGTGCGGTGATAAACCATTTATCAGCAGTTTTGTCTATCTCTATGTTAGAGGTTTTTGGCTCAGCTATTTAAATGTGAAGGGCAGAAGGCAGAATAGCTGGTGCTTTATGCTGCAGATCTTGACGGCCAACATCTAAAAGCTCAGGGATAAAGATAAAGGGAAAAGAAGTCCTAAATAATTCAGTATTTGGTGGAGTTTTTCCAGGCTGTGGAAGTGTCTGCAGTAGAGGTTCACATTTATTTAAGAAGTTCCCTCTAAAAATTCCCAAATCAGCTGCTCTGTGGCTCTCCAGCTTGCAGTCTATTGCACAGCGTTGTTCCCATGCTGTTATCCAGAACTGAGGAATTGCACATCCTTCTTCACTGTCTTCTTCACTCAGGGTGTGCAGGACATACAGCCCAACTAACTAAAGCATCTTTGGGCCTTTGATCTTTTCATTTGTATACTGTGCTGATGGGTTTGTTCTAATGCCAGCTTACAAGTCTAGCTGAAATTAAACAAACTTTTCTCCAATTTACCATCATTCCCTAATTTTAATGTTTACTGCCAATGAGGATAGAAAGATGAATGATACTTAAGATTTCTCAGATGAGTGCAGCCAGTCTGAAGCATTATCAGTGAGCTTATAAAAACTATAAGCGAGCCTGAGGAATTCCGTAGTAAAGACCTGTCTAATATTCCTCAAAATGCTCTGCCTTTATTTTTTTCCTTTCTCAGATGTTCTGTTGACTTTTCTATTTGAACAATCTCATTTTAACAAACCAGAGAGAATGCAGAGAGCTTTACTTAAAGTCACCAAAACGCTTCCAGTTTTTTTCTTCTCTATTGAAATAATAGCAACTGCATTTTTGTCCTGCTGTGGTGGGGTGAGGATTATATTTCTGAGGGGAAATAAGGCTTAACTCCCTGAGGGCAAATGGATTCTCTCCCTGGTAGAAAATGATGTCCAAGATTAGCAGTACTTCACGAGGCTGTTAGTTTTTGGAGTGTTTTTTTTGTCTACTTCAGGTCTCTGAACAGGTTCAGTTAAGCACTGCTTGTATCAATATGTAATTTGCATTATAGTGCTTGTAGTTTTTGATTCTCATTTCTTTTGGTTTCCTTGATGTACCAAGTAGCAAGGGGATGGTTCTTATAAAATTATACATTGAAAGTAGTCCAGGCGCAATGGAAATATTAATGAACATGATTGTTTTGACACATAAGAATTAGAGCATGTTTAAATATTATGCATACTGTATGAACTGCTGGCACAAAATTAGGAACGTGAGATTTTTTTCTTGCAAATATAGTTCACCTTTAATTCTTTTCAGACTGTAAAGTCAGTTTACTTAGGTCAGCTTTTGAGGCCCCTAATGGCTTTGCATTTCAAGTTAACTGCAGTCACGAAATGTTCATGTAAGCTTTGATTAACTCCAGTTCAGACCTAATTCAGACCCTAATTTGCACCATATTTCACTTACACATTGGTAAATAGAAGTTTATCAGTTGCTTTTGGGTAGTGCTCAGATTTACCTTTGATGTATTAATGAGTTACATTTTGCTCTTTGGACCAGTTTTTTATGCAAATACCAGGTGTATTTATCTGATGCCCTAAAATAAAAGGCAAAATTTAGGGGCTTATAAAGCGAGGGGTTAGAAAAGACTTGAAGGGCCAAGAGCCAAGGCATTTTCAGTTGTTTGTATGGGTATGTGTAGGATTTGCAGGATGTTTTATGCTACGAGCTTTTCAAAGTATTTGTTTAATAATACTTTCTGCTGTGTTTTTTCCATGTCTTAGAAACTGTCCTTGTTCTAAACAACCAGATATGCTACCAAGATTGTAATGGTGAAAAGTGCCCTCCTAGAAAGTAGTGAAGTGTTCAGCTGTGATTGAAACAGTAATTGGGCTGATGAGTATATATTCTTGCATTTGGCATCCATGATGGAATTCTATTTCTTAGCTTTGTTAATAGAGGATCTTGTATTCTTTTTTTAAAGAATAGTAGAGTATGTGTGAGATATGGAAATACAAGCAGGGAAGTCTACTTTTTAATAGGAAAATAAATATTGTTCAGAGGATAACTTTGTTTAAATGACTGAAATTAAGACTAGTGAACACTTGACCTGCTTTTTAAATTATTATTATTTTCTTCATAATGCAATATAATTCACACTCTAAGTGTCCTTCAATTTTTGCAAACTGAAAAATCAAATATCACTCAGCTCACCAATTCATCCACAAGCAACTCAAAGCTAAAAATGGCATCTAAATATAATGACCAGTTCATGGCATCTTACTATACTGACCATTTTTAGATCAGACTGAAAGATATAAATCGGTAGTTCAGATAGACTGTGCTAAATAACTGGTTTCTTGAAACTGTTATGTGAATTTTCTGACTTTACGTAGGTAAAAAGAAATTGTTCATAAAGGATGTATTTCAAAGTCCATTGATTTATAGCACTAGAGTCAGGTGAAGTTGAGTAAGAATTCCGTGGCAGGGCTGACTTTCTTAATCTGTTTTTTAGGATGAGACCTTAGACTATGTTCAAACAGCACAGCGGATGCCTGTTGCAGGTATGTCCAAGCCCTGGGTTTCTGGTTCTCGTTAGTAGCTCTAGTAAGAACTTGGTTGTTGACCCTCATGGCTTCAGCTTACAGGAGCAAAGGCTGAGGAAGGAAGGGGATCTTGGCTTTTACTGAGACATAGGATTTCATCTGCGCAAAGTACTCTGAATTCTCTAAGTTAATGGTAGATGCATTTATGGTGCAGGGATAAATATACTTCTGGATCTCTTCTGTGTTTTTTTTTTTTTTTTTTTTTTTACAAAGTGGACTGAGTAGAGGAAGAGTGAGTGAGTGTACCCAGATGAGCTGCAGTACCTGAAGAGCTCTATTGCAGGAGTAACCTTCTTTCAGGTGTTGCCTATGGGCACAAGCTCACCTACAGCCTTGTCTTTGGAAAGTTGGTTTTTCTTTTGCTTGAGTTAAGGTTTAGGTCAGGACAAACCAGTAGCTTTGTGATTAGTTTATTTATCCTTGAAGAAACACACACAGCTAATGGGTTTTGCCTAAGAGCAGTGAATCTTCTCATATCAGTGGGTCTGTTCCTTGATGCCACCTGCTGAGGGAGTCATGTAGCATGGGGCAATGGGTTTGGAGCTGCAGCCAGCAGTGAGTGTGCCTGAATCAGAAAGCTTGCTAATTAATTTCTGCAACCTGATGGCCTGTTGTGTTCTTCCCAGTGTTGAGCTTGCAGTGATCTGGTTAGTATCTGTAAATTCTTTTCTATTTGATATCACCATATTGTTCTAAAAGAGTATGCTGTGACCACTGGAAAAGCAGACCTTTCATTTTAAACTAGAAAAGTAGTGCAGAGTGAGGTTTATGTGGAAATATTGTTTTTAATACATTTCTCACTATGGCATATGGGTGTGATACACTGAAGTGTATGGTGGTTCATTTTGCTACTAACAAGGTAACCACAGATACTGACGTAAGACTGTAGCTGTTTTGGCTTTTGTTTACATTCTTTTTATTAAATATTGTTAGCTGCTTGTTTTCTGACTGATTTTAGCTATTCACTTTTTTTTTCCTAAAATGCTATTTTGATGCTTTTTTTTTTTTTTTTTTTTTTTAAACCCCCCCCCCTCTGCTGTTACTCCTGATAGTTTGGTATTTACTGGAGTGCAGGAATCATGGTGAGGATATTGATCTGTGTTGGTCTTTTTTCTTTCTTTCCCATGGTCACTTGGATTGAGCCATCTGTTTGATAGTGGGAATGCTAAAAGGCATTTTCTTTTCAGCTCACATATGAATTGTACTTTCCGATAGAGGTTATTCACTTGCAAATATGAAGATTGAACTATGATTCTGTGGCATTATGTATAAAATGATAATGCTCCCCAAAATATTTTCTTTGATATTAGTCCTTTGTCACTGCTCCGTTATTGATTAAAACTGTGCTGTGAAGTGCATCTTTTTTCAATCACAGCTGCAAGTGAGCAAGAAAAGGGACCATGTTTATTCTACTAATTTTTTTGCAGTTAATATCAAGAAAAAAACCCTTTGATAAATACCCTTCATCTGAGGATCTCAAATACTTGTAAGATGGTTTTGTAGCATTGTTGCTATGTTGTTGCTATGTATTGTTGACTGGGAGGAGTGTGGGCAGAATACATCTCCTGGAAAGTTGCCCCATGCTGGGGACTGCACAGGGAGTCTGTACAAGAATGCAAATAGAACCTATGTAATCTGGCTCCCATTCTCCTTGCCCCCTAACTTCTGCTATCTGTTTTTCTTCCTTTCTTTCTAGCATTCAGAATAAATCTTCAAAGTCTGAAACTGAATGAGTTGCCACTTTGTTCCCACTCTGATTCAGTGTGAATATAATAAAGGTCTGTAGGTAATGGCTTCAGTGAGTAGATGAGGTGAACATGCTTTGGTAAGATATCTATTAGATTCCCAGGTTTAATTTTTCTATGGCCGTGTGGAAGACTGTGAACTGCAACGGAGAAAGGGAAGAAGCTTTCTCCTGGCAACCTCACTAGTTTAATCTATGCAGAAGTTGAGCGTGGAGTGCCATAATAATGGCTGTGGCTTCTGAAGAGGTGTTCATATGTGAGTTTAGCATCTACACAGTAGCAGGGAGGAGACAGGGCAGAAGTTGCCCTGTGGGAAAGATATTTCTCCTGTAGGCTGGAACATCGTCATCTCCTCTAGGAAGCTGAGGGGGAGACTTCATTGGCATCTCTCTGGAGTATCCCCACCACCAAGTCCTCAACACTGAGGCTTGTAATTGCACTCTGGAGGAGCCAGAATTTTTCCTTTGATCGTGGAGGAAAACTGTTCAGTCTACTAAACTGGATTTCTAAGTTTTGACTGGCATGAATATCATTAGTAGTGTCAATTTAAACCCTTCAGTAGTTTCACTGCTGAACAATCCATGTGAATCTGTTTCACATTTGTAGTTCTATTAATATGCATCTTTCCAATGTGTTTACTGTGTCATTATTCTCCCCAAAAGATCTGTGGTTAGTTTCTAGTCCTATTCTTTGGACGACTTCTTGGTGTTACAGTATAGTTCACTTAATTTTTTTATTCTTTGTAACTCCTTAGCTTTATAGCATAATGTCTCTCAAACTGTGGATTCCTTCCTGATTTCTCCAGGGAAAAAAGATAGGAAAAGATGTCTGCGACTCCACTACTGTAAATACTTCTGCTTGTAGTTACCTTCTGCAAGTAATCCCTTTGAAATCAATAGGGAATATTCCCAGTAGTAAAGTTAAGCAGCCTGAAATGTCTTGAAGAATAAAGTCTGAGTCTGGTAAAAATCAGAGTGTTGCATGACTTCATTACGAAGTGCATCATCACAAAAGAGGAACCTCATAGAAAATAACCACTAATGAACATAATACAGCAAGTCATTTCTTAAACTCTGTGATATTCTTATTGCTTTTTTTTTTTTTTTTTTTTTTAACAGGGTATCTATATATTTTATTGAGGCATCAGCAGAAATATCCCTATTTTGTAATAATGCTTGTTTCAAGATTACTTGTGCCTGACCTTTGATACATTCCCATGTTTTCTACCTTTGTATATTATATTCTCTGGCTGTTTTTTCCTTATCCATTGATAGTACTTCAGGTACATCTAGGACAATTCCTTCCTGACCCAATTAACACCAACTGTTCTGATGGGTGTGTAGCTGTGCTACCTAATAGTATTTATTTCTGATATGAGACAAGTGACTGAAATGTTCTACCTTTTTTTTTTTTTTTTTAATACCAAACAATGAAGTAAATAACTATATTTCAAAGGCTGTTCTCGGTCAAGACTTTAGTAAATTAAAATTTAATCAGCAAGGTGAAATTCATTCAGGAAGCATATTGGTAAACTTTGGTTAAAAATCCCCCCTTCCATCTGAAGTTAGGATTTTGACCTGCTATTTCACAACAGCGCATATTAAATGTACTTTTTTCTTTTGCTAACATAAATCTTCAGTAGCCACAACTCTTGTTCTGAATTGTTTTTTTTCTTTAGTATTTAGGAGGCTTTGCTTGCTGCTGGGGAGAAAAAAAATGACTCACATTATTCATTACTTTGTGAAATCATAAGGTGATAGTATAAAAATCTTTTCTAAGGCTTCTAGATGTCTGAATCGTGACTCAGTTTAAATGTCCATATGCAGAGAGTGGATGCATGCACTGAGCTTACCTTTTTCCTAGAGAAATATAGCTGCACAATGCTGATTTAGCATAGCTGAAAAAAGAATGAAATTCATTTGAGCAACAGCTTGTAGTCTGTATTTGAGGCTACACATTCTCATAATACAAACCTGGAGGAAACTAGACTATTTGTAAAGTTAAAGGAAAAAGTTATATGCTATTGTAAAATAGACGTTTCTACAGTGTGTATTCCACAGCCTATAGAAATACAATATTACAAAATGGAGGTGGCAGATATGTATGGATACAATTAAATGGAATTTTATAATGAAAATTTTGTCTCATGAAGGTGAAACTTTTAGATCATATTAGAATTCTAAATTTTTTATGCATAGCAATCAAATGACCTCTCCATATTGCCATATAAAGTATAGATTCAAAGTTAAATGATCCAGTCAGTCATTTAGCATTTTCTTAGGCTCATTTTTTTTGCCAATAACTACAGATGTTTACGTGTGGTTCCTCTTGTTTCTCTGTTGTATTATTTACATTTTAAGACTTGAAGGAAGAAGACACTTTAAAAACTGTTTTTAATAGCCTTTGTTTATTTTTAATACGTAGTGTTCCAGGCTCTTGCTCTAATGATTTTTTTCACAGTGCATTGATAATTAAATTCATTCATTTTCCTGGCTGCACAATTCTTTTAAATAAAAAGTTATGGGTAATAATACCTATTATGTTGAAAGTATAGAGGAGAAAAGGGCAGATCTGTAGCTTTTAGTTCAAGGAGATCCAATGGATTATACATTATAGATTTAAATAAAAATAGAAATCTTGATGTTTTTAATCTATGCTATGGAAATATCTTGCATTTTATTTTTGCTTGCTTGTCATCTTTTTTTCTGATGCTATATCACATGTACTGTTTATTCCATTAAAACAAGAGCTGCAGATATGTAATGTGCTATCCATTTCGGGATCCTTATTACTAGTAATTTTAGCAAAGATGTTAACTGTGGGACATCTTAAATGACTGGAGTCTGTATATGATTCTCTTAATGTATACATGGTAGCAGTAAGCCCCCAAAATGTCCCTGTAAGAACCCCCTGAAAGAGTAATCTGATGTTAATAATTAGGGAGAAGTATTGTGAGCATGTAAAACTATGGTAGCATAAAGTATGTAATGTCAAAAAAATTACTCTGTTGTGATGTTATCTGTTTGCTTGCACAGCCTCTGCAATTTTTACCTATTCTATGAGATTTTAGATTTTGCATTTCATAAATTATGCAAAAGGGATTTAATTACGATTAGGGAAGAAACTCTTAGCCTCATATTTGATTTTTTTGTCATGTTTACAGAATGCAAGAGCAAAAAACATTATGTCCATTTGGCCAAATACATGTTCTAACTGTAATTTGAAGAAAAAAGCAGTGTAAATGAATACATAATCTAACTTTGCAAAATTTTATAAGCTGGGTATTGCCAATGCATGTGAACAACAGCAAAAAAAGCAACAAATTACAAAGAAATGAAAACAACCAGAAGCAAACCGGAAAGAAAACCACAAAAAAACAACATCAACAAACCAGCTCTAACCCCAACAATAATTCTCTCCTCCACTCACAAAAAAACCCAAAAGCCCTTTTTGAAATAATGATTAAGTAATATTGTTCTCTTTTCTTGATCCTCTGTGTCAATGAATTCTAAGATTAACAGAACTGCTGGTAGTCATTGGAGCATTGAAGAGGTCCACGTGGGCGTTTTGGGAAGGCATCACTTCTCTGATTTGTCCCCATGGCAAACAAACCAAAGAAAACCCCACTATCCCCAGCAGACAAATTATTAAGATCAGACACTTGGCTTATGCAGCTTTTGGTATTCCATTACGGAAAGCAAGTCTTATTCACAGTGGTAGAGATAACTCTGCTCTATATAGGCTGCTGCTAAGTACATCCTTTGAGTTGTATAATTTTTCTTACATATATTTGAAAATATTGGAGTGAAAGCCAACATAAATAACATTGTGACCAAAGTTATCACCAAAACTGTGACCAAAGTTCAAGCTTAGCCTGCTTAGTTTATCAGGGAAGCTTTGCTATGTCTATGTGCATGTGTGTAGAGGTTGGTTCTGGTTGCATGAAGCCCAACTACTCAGTAGTAATGGCATAAAAAGTTTATCGAGTTGGGACTTGAAGCTATAAATAAAATGGAAAAAATAATCCAACATACATTTTCATTCCATACTCTTATCCCATCAAAAATCAGGATAGAAGATGTTAGTTAATATTTTGTCTTATTCAGTCCTTAGAGTCCTTAGTCCTTGTAGAAAATAGATCCTGTTAGCTACTCCTACTCCTGTTAGTAGTATCTTCCATGAGTAGCATCACCCTGGAAGACAGAACAGTGTTCAGGCATCTTCAGACACTCCCCTTGCTGGAATTTTGTGATGAGAAGACCCTTGGAAGTCTCCTTTTCCATCTGTGTCCTTGCTGATATGTTGAAGATATGAGTTATGGCACAACTGTGTCTTCATCTCAGTTCCTCCTTTCCTTACCAGTGGAAGGCAGTGATCTAAATTTCTCTCGGTAGTCTCCCATTGGTTTTGGTGTTGAATGTCGATGACAAGAATCTGATCAGACTGGATGCTGCTGCCCGTGCATCTCTTGTTTAACAGTGACACAATAACAATGCAATATCCTTGCCAGACATTGGAGACTAGAAGCTTGCATTATTTCAGGAGCTGAAAATGTTCTCTTCTTAGTGTTATCTTTAAAATATGCACACTTCCTGTATTCAGTAATTCTCACAAAGCATCTCATAACTGTTCTTGTGTACCTGTAATTAGTATGGCTGTGTCTTGTGGACAAACTCTCACAAGGTCTGCATAGAACGAATCTGCTCATCATATTAATCTGTTTTATCTTGGCAGTTTGTTGGAGGTGTGTGTGTTTTGCTCACAACCTTGGACAGACAGTCTGGCTACACAGAATGTGTTCTTTTCCTGAACTGTTACGAACTTTGTGCACTATGAGAACTTCCATGTTAGGTATCATTAAGGAAATTCACTGGACTATGAACATCCTATATAGAATATACCAATTTCAACCGCAAGTAAAACCAACTACAAAGTCAGTAATGAAGCAACCTGTGATTTTTTTTCAGCTTTCTCACCCTTAAAAGCACAATGTGCAGTTACGTAAGGAAACCATAGGTTTGAGCCAAACCTCAAGCATGCTAAGAAGTGTGGTAAGAGTCACACGAAAATCAAATTCCCTGGTAGAAGTACCCAAGAAGTGGAATTTGTCATAAAGTTTCAAGGAGATATTTACTTCAGTTCATTTTGTTTATCTGCAATGTATCATTTGGAAAAATTTTATTTGCCATTATTAACAGAATTGTTCAATATCAGACTAAGTAATCTGAGTTCCACTGCAATAAATGTGTTTAAAAAATGAGCTTCAATTTTTCTGCTGCTTGTTCTTTCCATGTTTCTGAGACATTTTCCTTTTGCTTATTCTTTAACTTCCTGCCTGACTCAATGTAATTCATAAGCTTTCCATTAGAAGAGGGCCCAAACAGGAACCGTGTATTCAACTTGATGATGCTGATTAAAACCTACTTTGATTCCAGACTTCCATGAGGAATGCTTTCAGTACTCCTATAGGATTTGACTAACAACTTCTAACAAACTCGAAGATTCAACAACTGGGAGTTCATTATCTACACCAACACAAGAGCAGAAGCTGAGTGTAACACCCTTGTCTTTGTCTCTGAAAGAAACACTCATGCATGTCTGGCAGAAATAATTGAGACAGGAGCTCATAATACTAGAATATATGAGCAGATGAGTTGAAAAGATTATCTGTGATCCCTCATGATTTTCCTTGTGATGGACCTTAGCAGGGAGAATGTACAGGTATCCCGTGTCTCAGTGCAGGAGATGTGTCTGATATGGTATCTCAGTCTTTGTTTTTTCAAATACATCAGTGTTGACACTTGA